GAGCTTTGGAGGTCCCTTCCAACCCCTCACGTTCTGTGGTTCTGTGATTCTGTGACAAAGCAAGTCCAAAGCACCGGAGCTCGGTGAGTCTCAGCCGTCCCAGACAGAGGTGTCCTCGTTTGGAAAAGCCCATGGCAAACCCCGTACAAACCTTTTATGCTCTGAATGAGAGCTAAGACTGACAGCAGGAGACGCAACACGGGCACACTGAGCGCCTGACAAAGTACATTGCCAAGGAGAAAAGGTGAGGCACAGAAGGAGATTTGCTTTACTCCAATTCCCGCTGGTATTTCCCCAATCCTACAGCTAAAAAGTGCAAACCATCAGCTGGGTCTTGCCCCATTCCTACTGAGGATTTGGTGCCCACAGCCTCTCTCCCTGCCCCTTAGCAAGAAGTGGAGTCTGCGAGCGCAAACTTCACCCACACCAGGCAATCAGAGCTCTCCGGGGCGCTGGCAACCAACAGGGGAGGTTTTGGGACTGCCCATGGATGGCACAACCCTCCTGCAGCCACCACCCAGGGCTGGGCACAGCCTGCTTGCAGTGGAAGCCCTAATTAGCAGGTATTTGATTGCCTGTTGCCCAGGTACAGGAAGCATCGAGCTGTTCAGTCACCAGGCTACACCTCACCCTCGGATCAACACCCGGAGACGCAGGGACGTCTCCCACCAGGAGATGCCTGACTGTGCCTCACCAGCACGCCTGGTTACTCTGAGCTCCTCCTCTGCTGCACTCTCTAACTGGCAACTCAATGCTGTTGACCTACGTGGAAATTAAAGGCCAGGATGCTCAGCGTTGGTTACAGCCCTCGAGGTTTGTCTTAATTAGCAGGAAGCAGCACCAGCCTAATGCAGGGCTGCAGGATTAATCTTAGCATCATTTCGGTTGGAAAAGCCCCTTAAGATCGAGTCCAACCATCAACCTAACACCACCAGGTCCAGCACTGAATTACAGTGCTTAAGGGACAAAGAAGGGACTCCCAAATGGAGAGGATCGCCCCTGGAGCCCCTTGTCAGCAGCTTCACTTCCTGGTGGCCCCAGTGCCAGAGGTTAACGGCAGAGCCAGGCTGCAGTGATCCCAGCCCAGCAAGGGCTCAACGCACAGGTTGCACCCCACAAACAGAAGCACAGGGCAACATTTCCGAAGCAGGCGTGAGGCCCCGCAGCAAAAGAGATCTGGACAGGCTGAACTGATGGGCTGAGACCAATGGGATGAGGTTGAATATGGCCAAATGCCGGGTCCTGCACTTGGGAAACAACAACCCGGTGCAGCGCTCCAGGCTTGGAGAGGAGTGGCTGGAAAGCTGCCTGGAGGAGAAGGACCTGGGGGTGTTGGTTGACAGTCGGCTTCACATGAGCCAGCACTGTGCCCACGTGGTCAGAAAAGCCAACGGCATCTTGGCCTGTATTAAAAACAGCGTGACCAGCAGGGCCAGGGAGGTGATCATCCCCCTGTACTGGGCACTGGTGAGGCCGCACCTCGAGTGCTGTGTTCAGTTCTGGGCCCCTCACTAGAAGAAGGATGTTGAGATTCTGGAGCGTGATGGGGGATAGAACAAGGGGAAACGGCACCAAGCTGTGCCAAGGGAGGTTCAGGTCAGAGATAAGGAGGAAGTTCTTTACTGAGAGGGTCGTCAGAAGCTGGACCAGGCTGCCCAGGGAGGTGGTGGAGTCACCATCCCTGGATGTGTTTAAAGAGCGGGTAGACGAGGTACTTAGGGATATGGTTTAGGGGGTAGACAGGAGCGGTTGGACGTGATGATCCCAGAGGGCTTTTCCAACTGAGCCATTCCATGATTCTGTGAAAAGAGAGACCAAGGCTGTCACAGCACTGTGCGAGGGCTGAGCTCATGTCCCTGCGGCAGGGCTGGAGGGGGCCACATCCTCCCTTCCCCCTCTGCTCACCCCTAGAAGGGCACAGGCTCAAGCTGGAGAGATTTTGGGTGAGTCACTCCCCTCTGGACAAGAGTACAGAGATTTAAGAGGTTAACTCCCCAAAGGGTGGTAAATGCTTCACTGGACCAGCTGATTCAGTAGAGAGGACCAAAAATACCCTAAATCCATTCAAGTTCTGTTGCTATAAGTCAGCAATCCACAAAATCACTTTCATCCTTTCCAGGGTCTGCAGAGCTTCACGGATCCCCCAGGTTGGCAAAAGTGGATTTAAGCCTCTGACAACAGGGGTTCAAATCCCAAAACACTGGTCCATCCTCCCTCCTGGACTTCATTACCACCAGCCCCGTGGTTTGAGGTGATTTGGCCACACTCAAGTGCCTGCAGCGTATGGGAAGCGCCGTGCTCCGCTCCAGGGGCAGACACAGGCCAGGCTTCGCATCCAGAACCACTCTGGACTCCAGCTGACGTTGTAGCAGGCTTGGTTTTACCTACCAGAACCCACAAGAAGGGTGCTCAGCGCCACGCGGGTACAGGGGACGCAATCCTGAGAGGTTTTCCCAGCGAGCCTTACAGCAGACAGCACATTAAGGATTGCCACGTCTTGGCACGGGGACAGCACCACGTTTAGGAGTGAACCGACCGTAGAGAACCCCCGTAACCCTCGAGGCCAAGACCCACTGAGAACACCCTCTGAGGCAGGAGAAGGTTGCAGGCACAGTTTGGTTCCCCCCCTCACCTAGACAGGAAGGTGCCGGCAGCTGTTTTAGCCAAATCCTTTGCTGAGCTGTCAGCTTTATGCACTTGTACGCCCACTGACCTACGTAGAGATCGAAGGAGAGAGACCCGCAGTTAAGGGAGTGAAGGGAACACCGCAGGCATGCTGACAGACTGGAAAGGAGCAGCTCTGGTTTAGGATCCCTACCCAGAAGTTTCCATCTTTTACAGAGGGAGTAAAAGGTGGGAATTAACGTCACGTCTTGCTCTCCTGCAGCTCAGGGGAGAGCAGGCGCTTCCCTCAGCGCCGCTGTGCAGGCAGCGGGTTGGGAATGGGGAAGACGGTTTCCGATCGCTTCCAGGAGCGGAAGTTACCACCTCAGAGCAACTTCTACGCAAGGGATCGTTCTCTGACCACAGCTCCTCCTCCTCCTCACTGCTCGCCTCACCGCTTCAGCAAGAAACCAAACATTCAAAGGCAGCCACCAGCTCCCCCGGGGCTCTCCATGCAGTTCAGCTTCGGAGACGTTTGGAACCACACTTGCACACATCCCTGCAGCCTCCCTTCCCGAGCTCAACACCAACCCACTCAGGAAGTTGCAACAGAGCCCAACCCTCCGAAAACAGCAGCAGGAAGGGCACTTTCAGCACCCTCCACCATCACATCAATGCTCTCCCGGTACATTTTGGCAGTGACACTTTCACCAACTCACTTCCATGGACACAATTACCTCGACTCCAGAACACACAAGGAACTAAAAGCCACTGAGACTCCACACAGCCCAAGCAAGAGATGCAAGACGGTTTTATCCGCAAAGAACCGCGCACGCAGGAACGGCAACACGATGCTCCCCCCTCCTTGCACATGCTTCAACCAACAGCACGGAACTGGCTCCACAACACAGGGACCACTCCAAGGGGTTTTTCTGCCAGCATGCCAAAACCCAAAACATCCACGATGCAGCACAGAGTCCTCCCACGGCTCACGTTTTTAGCTGCTTGGCCTGTCATGCCCCGAAACTGCACGAGCCTTACCTGTTTGCGGGCGAGTTGAGGCCACCGCTGCCCAAGGAAGAAGTGGACAGGGTTGTTGCGATGGAGTCGCTGTTGGCTTCATCCACCGGCAGGGTCCGGGGCAGGAGATCTGGGCGACCAAGGTGGGAACCTGAGTTGAAGCACAGACTGTTCCGTCACCAGCACAACCAGTGGGGTCGTGTGGCACGAGCTCCCACGCCAGCCAGGGGTTGGGATCTGGGCTGGGTCCCACCCGAGACGCCCCGGACACCGCGGCGCTGCAGGAGCAGCCCTGTTCCAAGTCCAAGCCTCCATACGAGCACCCAGCCCAGCTTCCCCCCTGACACAAACCCCACGGGCACAACTGCTGGGAAGAGAACGGGCACACAGGGCTGCCACGCAGCTCCCAGCAGGAGCAAGGGCCACAAGGGAAAGGCTTATAATGTGAGGCTGAGGGAGCTGGGGTTGTTTAGCCTGGAGAAGAGGAGACTCAGGGAGGGACCTTATTATGCTCTACAAGTACCCAAAGGGAGGTTGTAGTCAGGTGAGGGTCGGGCTCTTCTCCCAGGCAACTGGTGACAAGACAAGGGGGCACAGCCTGAAGCTGCACCAGGGGAGGTTTAGGCTGGATATTAGAAAGCACTTTCTCATGGAGAGGGTGATCAGGCACTGGAATGGGCTGCCCAGGGAGGTGGTGGAGCTCCCATCCCTGGAGGTGTTTCAGGAAAGGCTGCATGTGGCACTTAGTGCCATGGTCTGGCCGATGTGGTGGTGTTAGGTCATGGGCTGGACTTGATGAACTCAGAGGGCTTTTCCAGCCTCAATAATTCTGTGATTCTGTGGCTGCTTGGACAAGGCCAAAACACTCCATAAGCTAACAAATCCCCAGCAGCTTCTCTGGGCTTTACTTTTCTCCTTTTAGCGCAGGCACCAACCTTGCTCTACATCCGCCTCTGTCGTTACTTGTGCTTTTGTCTCGCACAACATGTGTGACTGGGAAGGGAGTCCTCCTTGACAGCTCCGCCGAGGCACCGCGGTGCCAGACCGGCTCTTCTTGGAAGGGGATGGCTTTACTTAAGGACAAAAAAAAGAAAAAAAAAAGAAAGAAAAGCAAGTTTCTAACACGTTCAGGAAGGAGTAAAAGACCCAACGCAGCAATTTCTAGTAACACAGACTGGTGCGAGGGCTGTGCCCTGGAGGAACACGCCGAGAGATTAAACAGTTCCTATAAAGTCACATCTGTGAGGCAAGAACAATGTAGGAGGAAGGAAGAGGTGACACAGCACCGCAGATTTCCTAAAGCTCTGCACGCTATCGTCCACCTTCCCAAACCACAGCTGCTCAGCAAGGAGAAGCCAGAAAGCACAAAGGGTCCGGCTGCACCGAGGTACTCACGTGGTATTTTCTTGAACGCCGTGTTGCACATGAACCGCTGGAACCTCTCGGCGTAGAAGCTGGGTCTGTGCACAGACACGGTGTCCTGCAGTCCAAGGGACAAACGTTAGCATGTCAAGCTGAATTAAGTGATCAAGGTTAACGTGGGCTTCTCGGGCTGTTCGCCTTGAAACGCTCGCTACGTTGGGCGAGGGACAGCCTGGGACTGTCCCAGTTGCTGTGAGAAGCAGAGCAGCTACGAACAGCAGGCATTATATACAAAGTAATCAATATCTGTTAACGAACAAGTAAGTGACGACCAGCATTAACAAATCCAGTGTTTCTGAGAGCACCTAGAAAGCGTTACATTTATTTGAGACACACAAACACCCCCCTTAGAAATCCAGGATCCCACACCCAGGAGGATGAAGGACAGTGGGCGCAGTTAAACAAGACACCGCTATTCGAGCTAAACAAGTTCAAAAGTGATCGTTTTCCTGCTTACCCCATCGTGTACAAGGGCTTTCCAAGAGTGCTCCAGCTTCTTGACAAATCTGGCAAAGGGAAGAAATAAGGGCAGTTTTCACCCCAAGTCTCTGCTGTAGCACATCCTGCTCACTCAGCTCTGAGCCCAGCCTCAAACACAGCCCAGGCACAGATGGTTCTGGCTGTGGATCCTCTTCCTCATCCCGTTTTTCCAAGGCTGCTCCAAAACCACCAGAGCTGATTGCACAGGGAGAGTTTCACAGCCAAAATCCTCAAGGGCAGCTAACTTGCAATGACATTTAACAGAGACTTTACAGCTGTAACCCTCTGCATATCGCATTTTGTTGTAAATAGATGGAAAGGCAAGCCTTACAGCTACTTTTCACTTCACAGGGAGAAGCAGTCATGGCCATTTTAAGCCACTGTTTGCTTTTTTCCTGCGGTGCCCGTGTACAAACACCAAGCACACAAAAACAACTTCATAAGAGTAAATCTATTCCGGGAATATGAAGTAAGCACAGTAAGCAAGACCCACAAATTGATCCCAAAATGCCCCAACTTTTAAGAAAACAAAGTCGTAAATTAAAACAAAAAAAGGGTTTAGTTGTGTCTCAGCTATTTCTCGAAAGCCAATTTTGACAAGCAAGCAGGGGCAGCCAATGCTGGAAAGCAGTCTTTGTGCTGAGGTGACACAAAGCTGTTGTGAAATGTTTCCTACCTGTAGGACTGCAGCACGTCGATGATGCCGATGTAGAGCAGCAGCCTCTCCCCCTTGGCGTGAATGCCTCCCAGCCTAGGAGAGGACAGGGCACAACCATGAACCAGCGCATTCTCACACCCCAGTGCCTCCCTCCTGCAGCCCCGCGTGGGCTGGACGTTACACCAAGTATTTAACAAGCGTCAACATGCAGGAGGCGCCCCGATGGGATAACGCGCTGGGGAACACAGCTTGGAGCGAAATTATTCCAGGAATTTAGCTAGAGGTTCCCAGAACTGACTCCCTTTTCTCCTCTGTACAAGGATTTGATTGAAGATAAGGATTAATCCTGACTCATCCATGAGAGGAGACCAAGAACTGTCAAGGGCATCTCCATCTACACCAAGATGGACTTTATGGGCTGTTATTCTGACCTAAGGAAGCACTCGCCGTGCCTCTTAGAGGTGGCTGGAAGTCATTAGTTGAAGCTGGCAATAACTGGTGGGCAGAAAACTCTCAAATGTAACCTCCAAGGCAATAAAATCTTCTGTACATTAAGGAAATCAAAGATCGAAGCACCACCTCTCTGCCCGGCGCGACAGCAACCCCGTACAGCCCAGTTTGCATCTGAATTAAGTCTCCATGAGCCAAGCTTGGGTTTTACCCCTCGCTCTTCGCAGTGTTTCACTGGGAACACCGCCACAGACTTACTGGTCGTCTGTTTCTATGGTGCCCCCTCGCCGGGCCTCTCCCTGGATGGACTCCATGGCTGTTGAGTAGAGGGCCTTCTGGGCAGCGGGCCGCCGCGTGTCGGCCTGGGACGTCCCGTCTGCCATCGCGTGCTCCCGCTGTGCCAGGTCGATGTTGTGGATTGCAACAAGCAAACTGTAGTCCATGATTTTAAAGCTCTGCAGGACCTGGGCAGAAAGTCAACGAAGGCTCGCTCGTTATTGCAAGCCCAGTGAAACCGTCAGAGCAGACATTTTCAGAAGCGTAGTCAGCATTTTTTGCCCCGAGCGTATTGAGGGGATGGCTTTTAATCCCCAGCTCGTGCACAGTCAGCTCATCTCCAGCCACCGCAGGGAGTCAGAGGAAAGCCAGCAGTGCAGACAGGGACCCAAGCCAGGGAGGACACCCAACTTCTGCACGGCCACCCAAAAGAGGGTGACAACTTGAGGCCAGACTGGGCCAAGCATCGCACCCCTCACCCCGGATCCTGCCCTGTTTCAGAGCTCAGCCTCGCCAAAGGGAGCTTCCTCCACCTCCACAGGCAGTGCTGTTTTTTTTTAAATGAACCCAGGATCCAGATCCTGCTTCTTGTCCACACCATCACCCAAAAAAAACCCCAAACGGGTTCTGTAAGGCAACACCCCAGGAAGTGGCAGGTCCCACCTCCTTGTACTGGGAGAGGCTCAGAAAAAGGAAATAACTCTCCACACCACCCTCCACCCTTCCACTTACCAAACAATCTCTCTGTAACGTTTTGCACAGAGCGTTATACATGTCAGAGTCCAAGAAGAGGCCGTCAGGGATGTCTTGCATAAAATCCAAGTCCTTGTATGTTGGGAAGACCTTCTCCCGCTCCTTCTGGGACGCTCGGCGTTTGTAGGTGGAGCCCTTCAGGTCGTATTTCAGGTGCATTTTGACCGAGCGTGGCAGTAGGTTGTTCATCACGACGATGCGGATGTTTTTGCCTCCGGCCTGGACACAGTACAAGCCGTAAAACTTTGGCAGCAACGTTCTTGGGTTCTGGTTCAAATTCTGAAACGCCGAAGACAAAGAAATACCTTCAAAACCATTCCGGTTACTCCCATACCGGTCAGAGGAGTTCTGTGCTTCTTCCTGTGCTTTTGTATTGAAATGGAGCTGGCAATGACTCAAAGCTGCTGCCAGAGGAGCTAAGAGACACGGGCAGGTGAACAGGGAACAGACGGGGGATGCCCACAGTTGTTAACAACCTCTCACAAAGCTGAATGGGCCGGAGGAAGATTGCAGGGAGGAAGGAGTTTGCTGCTCCTTCACACAGGAGCTGAGGCTTCAGAGCAAAGGAAGATCCTGTGCTCAGCCTTTTAAAAATTGGCACTTAGGTCAGGCTAAATACATCAGGATAAAGACTGAGCTACACTCTCCTGGCTGCAGGAGGCACTAAGAATAAGCAAAATGAAGCGGTTCTGGGATATAATCACAGCAAAACTATCTGTGGGCTCAGCAGCCGTTGAAGTTGTTCAGCCAGTGGTCCCAACAGCACCCAAAGTCCCAAGGCACTTCCACGTGGCAGCACTACCTGGTGGTTGAATTCCCTTTCCAAGAGGTGGTTTGCAGAGGCCAGGCTGGACAAACACAAGCAGTCAGACCTCACACACACATCGTGTTCAAGGTGTGACCTGACTTTGCTCCAGAACTGATAAAGCCTTTTCTGCTACAGCCACTCTCATCAAACTAATACACCTTCACTTCCAAAGTTGCTGCTCTACACAGAAGCTTAAAATCAGAGTCCTTCAACACGATATTTGAGCTCTGCAGACAGAACCAAGCATAGTCCTGGGAAGGGAAACACAAGAACAGCTCTGCGAGACAAAAGCACCGCAGGCGCGAGGCTGCGCAGCAAGGAAGATGTGAGCAGTTCACAGCTCTGCAATCCTCCAAAAGGGTCCAAGTCACAAAGTGCAAGCAGAGACCCCAGGCAGCAGCCAGGCTCATCACACCCAGTGCCTTGTGTTAGCCCAGAGCTGGCTTTGTCACCGGACAGTTGAGAGAGAAGCTGCCGCTCGCCTGGGACACAGCTCAAACCTGCACTCATCTCCTAGGTGGCACACAGCAATCCCTGTCACACTCGTACATGTGGGGGACCCTTCCCTAGCCCACAGGGAAAGCCTCACCCAAGCGACTCACCATGTAGTAGCCAGGCAGCAGCTTCTGTAAGAACTCAGCCTCTTTGTGCTGACCCGTTTTGATGATAAACTCATCATCGCTGGATACGTAGAAGAGCGAGCCGCTGGCCCCGGAGTTTGAAAGTTCAATGAGTGGCTCATTGCACAGCGAGTACTGAGGAGGACAAGGTGAGAAATGCAGGGGTGAGAGAGACATCGACAGGAAACTTCAGCACAAAGGCTCTTCCTTTTAAACATTAACAAAGCCCAGAGTCACACACAGCATCCACTGCTGTGCTTACAGAGCTTCCACGCATCCTCCATGGCTTCAAGAGGGGAAAAAGGACAAACACTCATCTCACCAAATAAGTGGGAACCTGGTCCAACCCCCAACTCACCAGGTAATCGTCTGGTCGGATCCCAAAGAGCTCCCGGAAATAGCGAAAGGCCACTGGAGCGTAGGTTTTGAACCTAAAGTCGTTGTAGTGATGAGCTGGCGTCAGGTTACTCCCTTCACTGCAAAGGGAAGCACAGGCGAGTATTTGTAATTGAAATATTTCTTAAGAAAGTGCCTTAAAAGCAAACACCCACTGGCTGGCTGCTTCTGGAGGGCTGAAAACACCCACCCAGGAGGGACACGTGCAGGTACACAACAGCAAGCCCGTGCTTGTTCACACAACAACGGTGGACATGCAAAGGGAAGAGCCGAGGGCTCTTCAGAAACGCGTCACAGGCAGGAGCCAGAGTGGCTCTGCTCAGATCTGTGCTCCTTCCTGCACTAAACTGTCCTTCTGGTGCAGCTTCCTTGTGTTCAAGCATTAGAAACTAACGCTGCTACTCACTATGAAAGCACCAGAGAGAGAAGCAAGCAAGCACCGACCTTGGGAAGAAAATACTTTCTACTACGTAGAAATCTTGCATGAGAACATCTCTTTCAGGTTTGGTGCTCAGGCTTCCCACCGTGTGTGTGATGCCCAGCTGAATGGCACCTTTCAAGGCAGATGATGTCGTCTGGAGGGGCAGAGAAAAGGAGTTACACGCTGCGGAGCAGCAGACTGGAAATAGGAATGAAAGGAGTTAAAGAAAAGAGAGGCTCCAGTTTTAAACAGCACTGTTAGGGGTACTTTACAGCTACTGGTTCCAGCTTCAGTTGTCTCTTTGTCATTGAGCAACATCACTTTGCCACCTTACTCAATATCGGGATGCTGGGTGGTCAAGCAAGCAGTAAAGGACCTGAACTGGACTCAACACCCAGCTGGGCCTTAAAAGGACTGAATTTCATTGCATCCCCCCACAGCACCGCTCTCCGCACCCCACAGGCAGAGGGGAAGACACCCAGGGACAGATGATCTTGCGTCCCCAGGAATAAACACACCTCTTGGTACCGTGGTCTGCCAGCTCTCGCAGCAACACGCTCTGAAAGTCGCCCTTCCCCAGCCTGGGCACAGATTTGGGTCTGGTACAGTTCAGAGCAGGCCTGGCCAGCACACATTGCTGTTGGGTGCTACTGCATTCCTGTGCTATGAGGTCATGGCTTTCCAACTCTGGAGTTCACGGTCATTTTTAAATAAGGAGCAAAGACGTGAATCCCACTCCTGCATCCTCGGCACCAACCGTCCAAGAACAAGGCAGGGCTGTGCTCTCAACAGCGCCTCAGGTCAGGAGTCCTCTGCACGTGAGCTCATCTCAGACCACCGAGATGAGCTTGTGCTGGGGGCTGTCTTTTCCCACAACAGCTCCATACAATCTGCCTCAAGCCCTCAACGTTAAACACCACATGAGCTCCTGGAGCACGGAGATCCGAACCCTGCTGGAAACGATGAGGCTGCAGAGCAGGTGCAGGCTGGATTTGTGCGCCGCAGCTCATGGACATTTCACTTGGCTCACGCATAAAGCAACTGGACCCAGAACAAGATCCAGGGCTCACCATCCAACTCGCTTGGATTCGTTTCCTTAAGCCAAACAAAAGCCCAGCCCTCCTGCCACGTGCAAGGAATCGCTGTGGATCAAAGCGTTTGGCAGCAGAGGACCCCGCAGTGGCTGCGGGACAAACACTCCCAGTTTTTTCCCCAGACACACATCCTCCACGAAGCCTTTTAAAACAAACGGGGACGCTTCTCCAACTTGACTGGGGTTGTTATCATAGCTGCAAGAGATCTGCTCATGGTTCCCTGAAGTGAGCAACAAAAACCGGCCGTAACTCCAGTTTGTTGTAAAAAAACCAGCCTTTCCTGCTTCAGTTCCTGCTCGAATTTGACATTTACTTCGGTATCAGATAGGGAAGGAGGAAGAATTGGACACCGCTTCCTTCCTTACCCTCTGAAGGCTAAAACAGCTTGAAAACAGCTCCCGGCTCGGCTCAGCCTGGCCCTGCTTAAACTCCCAGCACAGCCTCGCTGACGAGGAACAGAGCTCACCAACACGGCGCAGCATCGCTGCCTTGTTTGTGAATACACAGCCACGGGGCCAGGTTGCCAAGGAACAAGTATTTTTCTCGTCTGTTAGCCAGCACGATCAGCTGAGCAGCTGACTGCCTGTTTACAGTCGCTTTTATAGGGCAAAGTATTTTAAAAAAAAACAACTTACCACCCCTGGAAAAGGAGGGGATGGAAACCAGACAGACTGGCTCTGTTAGTCTCATTCCCAGAGAAATCCCACCAGGTTTCTGGGACCCTCGTGAGCAACATTTCAGGCATTTCCCATTGGCTTCTGCTTTCTTTTCCTATTACTGCTGTCTAACCTATCTCTGAATTTGCTGGGGAGCTGAAGGCTGGATGCCAATCCTGGAGCCACAGACGATCTCCAAAAGGGCAGTAAAGAAAAGCCAGCCTTGGTGCAAACACCCTTTGAATTCCTCCCTGACAAACAGACGGGGGTACCTCTGCACCACAGATTTCAGACCACAAGCTTCACTGACACCAAGCAGTGAAATGCCCATATCAAGTCTTTACCCATTTAATCTACATCTCAGAAGTCAGAGAGTGTTGCCCCATTCTGAGAAAGTCCAACAAAACCGGAAGCAACGTCCACAAAATACCCACATTTAAAAACACCCAAACAATCTCCTCTTTGTGAAGCAAATTCCAGGAATACCACAAGATCTGTAGCAAATAAAGAGCACAGAAAGCACCCAATAGGCCAGAAGAGGCCTAGGAAGTGTTGCTAATGGGCAAAGTTTAAAAACAATCCCTTCTTTTAGAAGAGAAGCCAAGAAGCACATCCTCAGTCCTTTGGTTCCTTTGAGACTTTCTTCAGCGACCACTGCAGACGTTCCCCACTGTCTAAGGCCAAAAATCGTGGGACACACCACCAGGAGGAGAAAGACAGGAGCAAAATGAGTTGTGCAAGAGGCAACTCACCTTTTTATAGGTGGTCTCGCCCGTGGAGTCCACTCCTCTGTGCCCTTTCTTTATCGTCTGTGAGCCCGGTTGCCCAGAAGAACCTGGCATCTGGGATTGGAGGAAAAAATGGTGAGCATCAGGGGTGTAAAATCCAAAGTCTTAAAGGCCGATGGCTGCCCAGAACCACCTGGAATGACTTGGTGACTCTCAAAGATGGAGCATGGGAAGCGCTGAAGCCCCAGGTCCCTGCACACAGGCATGAAGGAAGGACAGGGGATAGCAGTGGCACTGAAATGCCCGCAGAGAACTCAGTGACTCCTGCGTGATTAAGGCCAGACGTTTAATTACAGAGCAACACCTTCACGTGGAAGGGTTCGCTTTGTCCTAACCCCCCTCAGCACAAACAGAGCAGCTCCAAGCCAGGCCCATAAGACCAAGTCTTCGAGGAAACATTTTGGGAAGGTGGCAAATTCTGCGCTGATTCAGGCCACAAGCGCTCGCCTGACTCATCGGCTTCCAACACAGGCGGTCGGTAAACGTCGTTTCTCAGGCAAGACAAGCTGAGCATTTGCTCGTGGCAGATCCACACCGTGTTTTGGGGCCATGAGAACCTGTCAGTTCCAGGACGAGCTGGGTTTTGATGTGGTTTTCTTTGTAAGGAGAGATGCTCTCACTTCCCAAATGAGTACCTGCAACTTATGGCACTGGTTTACCCCTAACTCCAATGAGAGTGGGAAAACAGCGGACAAGTCTGAAATTGGGCACTCTGGGACAGGGAACAAAGCAGGAACGTACCTCAGGGGTGAGCGATTTCTTGAAAGTAGATGATCCTGTCAAGAGAATAAAGCCACGCTCAGAAAGGGTTAACGGTTATCACTCGTCGCCAAAAAACCTGACGCAGGTTTTAAAGCATCTGCGAAAAGCACTGACTCATGGCTGACTGCTGCCCAGCTTCTCCTCTTACAGCAGAGAGGATTTTTGGCAAGCCCCAAGGAAAGGCTCCTCTGCTCACTCCTCGCCAGCCAAACACAAGTTTGTGCCGCTGCTGCTGGCTCGCAGCTGTGCCCCGAAACGCAGGACCCCTCCTTCAGAGGTGGCGCTGGGGACGTCCCCGGTACGGTGAAGGTACCTGGCTTTGCAGGACCATTGCCATCCGCCCCTTAGAACTGGGAGTGCTCTGCAGTGTTTCAGTAGACTTCTTAAAATTAATTAATCTTACAATTACTTCCAGGACCTTCATTAAAAAGCCCAGAACGTCAACTCTTCCTCTTCAAACCAAACCCAGAGATTTTCCACAACTACCGTGGTGTTAAATATCTGTGAGGTCAGGCACTAACTTATCTTTTAGGCCTGGATTCCTGACTTGGGGTGAGGTGGGTTTGGATGAAAAAAGAAAATAAAAACCCATTTGATTTGGACAGGCTGAATCCATGGGCTGAGGGCAACTGGATGAGCTTCACCAAGGCCAAGTGCTGGGTCCTGCACTTTGGTCACAACAACCCCATGGACGCTGCAGGCTTGGGGACGAGTGGCTGGAAAGGAGCTGGGGGTGTTGGTGGCAGCAGATCCCATGAGCAGCAATGTGCCCTTGAGCCAAGAAGGCCAACGCCATCCTGGGGTGCATGAGAAGGGGTGGTTGTAGGGCAGAGAGCTTCTCCTGCCCCTCTGCTCTGCCCTGCTCACACCCCAGCTGCAATCTTGTGTCCAG